TGCAGTTTCTGATCGCTGTACTGCATAAAAATAGACATAGAAGAAGCAAAACCCGTTTGTTATGCAACATGAGTCAAATGAATTCTATCACAAATTCAAAGAGAAACATTACGATTTCTTCAAAAGGTGGTAATTGCACTGATTCCCATTTGATATACGTCACCCAATATACCAAACATGATTTGATTTATGTGAGCTACGCAGCGGAAAAAAAATAAGATAAAAGATTTAACAACCACAGATATGATTGTCAGACACAACAATCTGACATCAAGGAACTTGCGAAACATTTTATTACAACCGACTGTAATTCCGACGAGTATCTTAAGGTGATTAAGATCCTCGTCGTAATTACAAAATTAAAAGAAATATTTAGAATACACCGACCCTCAAAACACATGAGGAGAGTTGCATAAGCAAACTATTAAATTCCATCTCAAGGGGGGGGGATGAACAGAATAACGGGAGAGTTATGTGGGATTTATACTAAGGTGTTTAATTTCTCTGAGGAATTAATCAAATAACGGAAAATTCCAAGAGCAAGATGATTAGCAAGATCTCCAACATATTATGCACGTTTCAGATGCATGATACACGTATATAGCAAAACCATATATATATATATATATATATATATATATATATATATATGTGTGTGTGTGTGTGTGTGTGTGTTATAATTATAATTATTTCTTTAAACATATTTTAAAAAATAATTATCATCTAGGCTCTACTTGTGTATCCAGCACTGTGTTTTAAAATAAAACAAAAATACAAAAGAAGTTCGGATCATCAATCTCACTATTCTTTCCTATTTTATCAATATACTTGCACACACACACACACACATATATATATATATATATATATATATACATACATATATATATATATATATATATATATATATATATATATATATAAATTCAATGTCCACTTTTATATTTACACACGATCCATCTCTGATATTGAGCACTTTATCCCATAAATATAGCACACCTTAAAGACACACACACACACACACACACACACACACACACACACACACACACACACACACACACACACACACACACACACACACACACACACACATATATATATATATATATATATATATATATATATATATATATATATATATATGAAGACTGGAATCCTGTTATGGACATACACAAGAGCACACACAAACGCACACACATGTAACAGAATCGACGAACGCCCGGACCGGCACTGCATATGAGGATTATTATTATTAATATTTATTACCCATCCTTCTCGATATCTCCACTAATTCTCGATTTCTTTTTCACGCTATTTCTAATTGACCCTCCCCTATCGACAAGTTTATTTCTAATTAACTCCTATAGATAGATAGATAGATAATGGGCAAAGTGAAAGAGAGCTTAGACCTAGATAGGTAGATAGATTCATTGATTTGTTTTCTACGGTTTATGAACTCTTAGCAGGTTATTTAATGCTAGAATATAATTTTAGATTGATACAAGTCTTGCTAATGAACCCATAGCTGGGGGAGGTGGATTCACGACATTGCCAAAGGTATTGGCGCGTAAGTGAATATAACGTATCCAGCGGTAAGTGGAACTCGCTCTGATTAACAATTCAGAGCCATTCTCCATTACAAAATCCACATATCCAAGCTTTCACCCTGCTGGGGTCTCATTCGTTTTGAAGCTTTCATTACCAGGTGAGGCGTTTTTCTCAAATTGTAATTTTTTGTAAACATCCTATATGTTAATACATGTATGCAATTTTTAAACCTAATTTGAAGACAGACATACATAATATCGAATATTAACTTTGTCAAACAATTTTTCGTTTTTTTTTTTTAGTTTTCCTAAATCACGCTTCAATAATAATAATAATGTCGTTTGAGTAAAAATTCTTAACATGGAGTTGTGTCAGGTATAAGCAACTGTCTGAGGTACAATTATAATCAAACATAGTGATAATTATAAGACGCATGGTGAAATTTTTGACAATTTTCCGGATATATATATATATATATATATATATATATATATATATATGTATGTATGTATATATACATATATATATATATATATTTATGTGTGTATATATATATATATATATATATATATATATATATATATATATATATATATATATATATATATTAAAAAGGAAATTTACATTTTAATATTTTAATTTAATGTACCTATAATCCTTTCGTTTCTTAACTATATTATCAATATTATCACCACACACACACACACACACACACACATATATATATATATATATATATATATATATAGGTCTAAATATGTCTAAAATTCACCATGCGTCTTATATATATATATATATATATATATATATATATATATATATATATATGGTGATTATATAGTTAGAAAGTGAAATGTTTTTAGGTACATTAAATTCAAAATGTTAAAAAGTTAATGTTCCTTTTATATATATATATATATATATATATATATATATATATATATATATCCCGATTTCTGGTACGTTTCTAAATGTAGCTTAGATGTGACACAAGGTAGGAAGTATGAGGCACCCAATGAGAACCGAACTAACTACTAAATCGTAATTACTATGGCGAGACTATATATTTATTGCCTATTGTATATATATATGTAAATATATATATATATACACTCTGGCAGTCGGTTTAATGACTGAACGTAGTCTTCAAGGCATTGTGTAATGGCTCAACTATTTATATACTCTGATCAAAGGTGTATTATTGTATCAACATTAGGTATTTCCAGTTACTGGATAGGCGGCAACAGTTATCTTTTAAATTATTCTCGAGGCAATTGGGCGTAAATCATTGCTATTCAGAATACGGTTATTTGTAGCTATTTTATTGTGTGTTCTTTGTTAACTTTTAATCATTATTTATTATTGATTACTTAGAGGATTTTGTATTTATTTATTAATTAATTGTTGTTTATTATTAAATTTTACTTGTGTCTATGTCCGCTTTCATAGTTTGTTAAGATGTTTACAATTTATATACATATTATATATATATATATATATATATATATATATATATATATATATATATATATATATATAAATAATACCAGTTGGTAATTAGTAGGTATAATTCCAAGGTTGACATTAATCCGGAGAGAGCTCAATGTAAGTAACAGAACAATATAATAATAATAAGTAGAGAAAATCCTTAAAAATCCAATTCAGTTATGATAGGTTTCATGAATACATTTGGACAGTCATCTTTTCAGGATTTTTTTTTTCTTAAACCCCTTGGTCTGAGGGGAGATGAATATTCAAATATATTCATGAAATAAATTATAACCGAAATGGATTATTAAGGATTGTTTTTACTTATTATTATGCATGGTGGACTCTCCCGTCGTATTTGACGTATGCGAGTCAAGTAGCCCACTAGGGACCAAGAATCGACAGACCAGACACCATATGATTTGATTATAGTGATGAAGGTTTTGTGCAGAACGAACCACACTTTTTGAAGGGGTGAATACAGTGACTTGGTGCATTATTTTCCACAAAGTCTCCACCAAAAATTCCGCTGGTTTTGAATTCAGAGTTGTTCTTGTCCTAGATCAGCTGCCATCCAAGGCTATAGAACCCAGTCCGTCCATAGTTGAAGGAAGAAGAAAAGGATTAATACATTATTAGCACGTTAGCGAATGTAATGGATTCGACTGAAATTCGAATTTGGCTCTCCGATCCCGAGCCGCTAACCAATACATTTATATATATATATATATATATATATATATATATATATATATATATATATATATATATATATATGTGTGTGTGTGTGTGTGTGTGTGTGTGTGTGTGTAACTATGACTATGCTGAGCACATGCAAATACATAAATATTTCAGAGAAGGTAGCAGTAGGCGGAGTCATCGTCTAAACATGTATTCATTCACAGAAAAGATGACGACGTTCATTCGTTACTGGGTTTATATACGCACGGATTTAACTAACCGCAAGATACACGCATATAGCGAACACACAGATAAATGCAATATATATATATATATATATATATATGTGTGTGAGAGAGAGAGAGAGAGAGAGAGAGAGAGAGAGAGAGAGAGAGAAGACTGGAATGCACATACGCGAGAGCACAAACAAACGCACACATAAATGGCAAAGACCCGGCCTATGCCGATTATTATTATTATTATTATTATTATCATCATCATCATCATCATCATTCTATTACCCATCCTTCTCGATATCTCCGCTAATTCTCGATTTCTCTCTCACGCTGTTTCCTGACCCTCCCCGATTAATAAGTTATGCATTTTTTTAAATTTCTAACTCTCGGTGTTAGAAAGTCGTTGGTTTTCAGATCGAATAGATAGATAGATAAACGGATAGAAAGATAGATATTAGGCAGAGTGAAAGAGAGATTATATGAAGAGACAGAAATATATTTATATATATATATATATATATATATATATATATATATATATATATATATATTGAGAGAGAGAGAGAGAGAGATAGATAGATAGATAGATAGGAGAATCGATTAATCGTTAGATAGATAGATAGATAGATAGATAGATAGATAGATTGATAGAAGAATCGATTGATCGTTAGATAGATAGATAGATAGATAAAAGAATCGATTGATCGTTAGATAGATAGATAGATAGATAGATAGATAGATAGATAGATAGATAAGAGAATCGATTGATCGTTAGATAGATAGATAGATAGATAGACAGATACTGATTCGTTGATTTGTTTTGTACGGTTTATGAACTCTTTGCAGGTTATTTAATGCTAAAATATATTTTTAGATTGATACATGTCTTACTAATGAACCCATAGCTGGGGGGGGATGTGAACTCATAACTTTCCCAATGGTATTTGCGTATAAGCGAATATAACGAACCCAACGGGAATTGGAACTCTGCTCTCCGATTAACAATTCCGAGCCAATATTCATTACACCACCTGCACATCCAAGCTTACATCATCTGGTATTCCCAGGCGGTCACGTACCTGGGTACTAACCAAGCCCGACGTTGCTTAACTTCGATGATCTTACGGCAACCGGTGTTTCAACGTGATGTGGCCGTAATCACATAGATAGATAGGTAGGCAGGTAGAAAAGTAGATAGATAGATAGATAGATAGATAGATAGATAGATAGATAGATAGATAGATCAGTATTGACGAAGAGACATAATTATATGGAGAGATAAATATTGACAAACTTATTACTTATTAGTTTGCTTTCTCTTTTGTTATCTCTATTCATACCCTAATTCATATACGGATATATTATGCTTAATGTAGTCTGGTTCAAGGTCACATTTCTGGAGCTCCCAGCAATGGCTGAACTTAGATTGTACCTCGTTAAATCTAAACCCGTTTTTCGAATGAGGATTTTCACTGAAGCAAATCACTTCACACACACACACACACACACACACACACACACACACACACACACACACACACACACACACATATCTGTCTATATTTATGAGATGAGGTATTATGTACATTATTTACATTATTCGGACTATTGTCTTCATCTTTCTCGCCATATTTATTACAATGTTTCGGTTCAGTTCGACATTCCAATCACCTGAATAAGGCCGAAGTGTACAACGGCCGAAACGTTGTAATAAATATGGCGACAATGATGAGGACAATAGACCGAATAATGTAAATAATGTACACACACACATATATATCTATAAGCCTGCCATTCGTTCATGCTTAGAATATTGATGCCCCAAACGATCTGCTATACACCGTGAGCTCCTTGATAAAATCCAAAGATCAGCCATACTATCGGTTCTGATCTGACATCTCGGATTCAGTCACTTTCCCACCTCTGTAATGTTGCCCCCTGTGTCTTTTCTATAAATCCTTTCATGCTATTTGTTCGAATGGGCTCTTCAGTATTGTACCTAGAGTTTTTGAATTTAAGCTCAGCATTAGACTGGCGTCTAGATCTCATCAATTTATAGTTGAGTTAGCTAGATGTAACCGTCAATTCTAGGCTAAAAGTTTCTTTTCTTACACTTCTCGCTTGTGGGAATCCTTTTCGGTTCCATGCTTTCCAGCTAACTTTAATCTGAGAAAAATTTAAATGCAGTATCCATGGCTATTTACTGTCTTCCTGATTAATCTTCTTTTGTTCTTACTCCTTTGTAATGTTTCTTTTTTTTTTTTCTTACTCTTTCACACTCAGTGACCCCTTGTGTCTTAGTGGATTTACTACCTTAAAATGGTTTGTTAATTTTAACACCTCTAAAACTAAACTTCTCTCTGTTAATCATGTGTGTGGCCTTTTTCTACTTTCTATCACTATGGCTGATACTAACCTCCAGGATATTGACTGGAAGCATTGTTCCCATTGAATATTTCAAAATATTTTGCTCACTAATAATTTTCATGTTAACGTTGTTCATACTTCCGTTCTACGTGTTACTTGTGGGAATTATAAAAATTAAAAAAATCACATTTTTATTAAAAAATATATCAATATGTATTATTTTTTAATTGGTTTTTGAACGTAATTATTATTTATAAAAGTATATGATAATATTTATATTACGATCATATAAAATTATTAATATATGGGGTTTCCTCAAAATTTCTGAACCCAGAAGGGTTCCGCGACTGAAAAATTTTTTGGGAAAATCTGCTATAGGAAATTATATATATATATATATATATATATATATATATATATATATATATATATATATGTAGTAACCCCAACTTTAAAACACACACACACACACACACACACACACACACACATATATATATATATATATATATGTAGTGTAACCCCAACTTTAAAGCACTATAGCTATTATAACCTTGCTTCGTTGTCAAGATTTTTGAATTCTCGTATACTTGTATTTTGATTGGTCATTGCAGCTTATGTAACAGCGTTTCCCCTAGCGAGGGGTGCTTGATTGATTTGAACCTTTTAAAAGCCTTTATTCTACATTCAACATCATCACTTGATAAGACACCAGAGGTGTTGAAACAAAATGGCTATTTTTGTAGTGATTTTATAACATGTTATAATTTTTAAATAAATAATTATATATATATATATATATGTATATATATATACAGAACAATGCTAGAAAAATCAGTAATAATCTTGAAATAGGCTGTATAAAACTATTGTTCTGCGTAGCAGGAAACAAACGGTGGACATTTGCAATATTAACAGGATATAGAAGTGTTCTAGGCTATAAACGAGTGTCATTGTAATCATGCGATTATGAGCCGCAAATGTGACTTGACCCCTTCTGGGGGAGATGTTATAACATGTGAACTTTTCAAAGGCAAATCTACATTTGAATTATCCCAAATAATTGGAAGATATCAGCAAACTGTGAAAAGATTTGTTTCACCTACTACGGAGGTACGTAAGAAGGCCGATAAGTGTCAATCGAGGGTTGTTTCCCTACGTTCTTTGTCGCGAATGAAACGTGAAACTGTAAATAACCCCGGCCCGACCCGTGGAGCACTTTTCAGGAGCAGTGTCCAGGATTACTCACAATCGTCTTCTGAAAAAAGATTTGGGCAAAGCCTCAGTTGACAAAAGCACACATACAAATGCGTTTAAAATGGGCAAAGGAGAACATGAAGGCCGATTGCTCGTAAGTTCTGTTCACAGAGGAAAGTCATGCAACGCTTGATGGCCCTGAGGGTTGGAGCAAAGGTTGGGTCGTAAATGGACGAAATCGTCATCAACGCTTGATACGCCAACAGGAAGGAGGAGATATTCTGATTTGGTCTAGTATTATTGGAGGTATATTGGTTGGTACGTGGAGAGTGCTTGACGGTACGAAAATATACAGCCTTCCTCAAAAGGCACCTGGAATCTTGTCTAAAAAGCAAAGAATCACCTTCAGAAAAACCACTGCATTTATGCAAGATAATTCTCCTTCGTATTCATAAACCTATGGAGTATCTGCAGAAATTAGGCTTCTGTAAATCTCGAAAGATGAACTGCCCGATCTATTATTCAGACTTAAACCCAAATGAAAACTTGTGGAGAATTCTGAAGCGACGTATTTAGGAGAATGGGCGCCAATTTAGAAGCAAGAATGACTTATGATAGGGAATAGGCAACGGGTCACGTGACATTACATCAGAAAAGATCCAACAATTGATATATTTGAGTCATTTTAAAAAAAAAGGATCACATATCTCATATTAATCAAATCCACTAACCATTTTTTTGTTTACTTTTTTTTATTTCGATTTAATTTCATCTTAGTTACTGTATATATCCATAAAATATCTGTAAATGAAGCAAAATGTTATTTTCTTTTGTCACAGGCTTTTTTTTTATTAAACCTCGCTAATAATTTGACACACTAGTAATTTAAGTAAATTAGGTAAATGACTCTAACTTCTGTTGCTTTTTCTAGAACCTAACAATTTATATACAGTAGCGAGCATAAAGATCAGAAACGATGTTAAGAAAAAGTCGAAATGTGAAATAACATTTTATTTTAAAGCTTCAAAGAACATTTTATCAAAGAAAAATAAGGATATAAATGTAAATTATATAATTCCAAAATATAAAGATCAATAAACGTATTTTGATAAAGTTATAAGAATAATTATATAACATTAAAAAAAATAGATGATCAAAAACATCAGAACGATTAACAAAATCATACTATTATAATGGATACATCATATCCAAATGAAAATAGCGTTCATAATTCATTAGTTCTTGATGTGTAGATCTTTACTTTCAATAACAGCTTGACGTCTTTTGCTACATGAGTGAATTAATGTCTTGCATTCATTAACGGATATTTTCTTCCATTCTCCTTTCAAACTAGTCCATAGTTCTTGGCCTTAGCTCTTTCATTTAGTACCTTCCAAACATTCTCAATAGGATTCATGTCTGGGCTTTGAGCAGGTCACTCCATGACAGTAACATCCTACTCAGAAAGAAATGTCTTAACAGACTTTGCTGTGTGACACGGCGCGTTATCTTGCATAAATAGAGCTGCTTGATAATTGCAATTCTCAAGTTAGGTACAACATGTTTCTTTAATATCTCTTTGTCTACAGTTGCTTTAATATTACCGTGTAGCCTAACAAGAGGTCCCGTACCAGCAGATGAAATCATGCCAAACACCATCACACTTCCTCCTCCAAATTTAACGCTACTTTTAGTGCCCTGAGGCGAATATCGTTTCTTATGCTTTTTTTTTGTTTTTTTTAGAAATGTGTAATTAATAACACATTTCTAAAAAAAACATATTTCGATTAACTTTTAATCTTTTGTGTTTCGCTACTACCTGGATTTACTAAAAAAAAAATAATTTTCATGCCTGAGGATGGCTGTAAGTACAGATGAAAGTACTAGAAAATAAAAAAAAAAGACCATATACAACTTGAAGTTATTAAAAACAAGGACCATAACATTCATCGAGTGGTTCGTAGGTTAATGTAACTTTAATAAATTTGTTTGCGAGGATGTTTTTCACCATTTATATCATTAACTTTACTAATCTACTTTTTGTATGAATGATTCATTGTAATATAAATTGAACTGCACCACACACACACACACACACACACACACACACACACACACATACATACATATATATATTAAAAAGGTATAACAACCTTACTTTGAATCTTCAGTTCTAATTTAATTTTTCAATTTGAAAACATTAATAATAACGGGAGAAGCAATTTGGGGGGGGGTTAGTCACTTAAAGAGCAAAGGGAACGGTCTATTTAGTTTGGTTTATTTTGTTTTACGGCATATCAACACCTAAATGGGTTACTTAATACCGACTAGATTTTTATTGCTGGTAATAATGTTTTTCAAACATGTATTGCTGGTATTAAAACCTGTTTTTACACATTCATAGTGCTTTGGCACCAGTTTGGAGGGGGGTTACGTATTTGCCCATAGCTGGGACCCTAATAGGTACTACCACCCCGGGTCAGGTGGACCTGGGGACACCAGCAATTTAGAGCTGGTTCCACGCTCCTCAAAACCGGATCAGAGGCCTTGTTGTTGGATATATATATATATATATATATATATATATATATATA